AAATTTACACTGGAAAAAAAAAGAGGAAAGAACGCGCCTACGCCATGGTAGGGAAATGAAAGTTCCCTGTTTTTCATTAATTATTCCATAATCCTGAAAGTTGAATATTTCGATCTACTGAACTTAATTGGGTTGAGTGATCAAATCATAAATCCAAAAATCGATTTTATTTATGATAAGATTCGCTGATCAATTCAGAAACAATACTTATTCGTTGCTGTTGTAACAGCACATAAATTCCACAAAGAGTTTGTGTGGAGTGTTGCTGCAGCGGCGGTCTTGGTCAGATATAAATCTGGGTCTTTCAGGTTACGTGATTTTCTGCCCTGAGCTGAGGTGAGTTGAGGCGAGTTGATGCGTATTGAAGTGAGTTTAATTGAAGTGAGGTGAATTTAGTTGAGATGAGGTCACTTGAGGTGGATTAAGGTAAATGGGTATGAGATCAGTTGCAGTGAGTTGAGGCGAGTTGAGCAAAGTTTAGGTGTGGTGAGGATAATTGAAATGAAGTGCGTCGCGTTGGGTTAAATTTAGTTGCAGTGGGTTGAGTTGGGGTGAAGTGAGGTGAGCTACAAGACATAGCACTTCACTTTAATCTTTATCGTTGTATTTTTATCCTTATTTCTTTCCCTCTCTCTATCTCTATCTCTGCCTTTGTCTCTATCCTTTTCTTAATCTGTATATTTTTTCTTATCATTGTCCTTATCTTTGTACCTAGCTTTGTTTTATCGCGTTTCCGTTTCTACCGAAAAATGTTACCTTCTCTTTTCCCTCTACGCGCAATCTTTTTTTCCGAGCACCAATGTACAAAAACTCAAATTGCCATAATAGCTGTTGTTTTTTTTACACCCGCAAGCAAATTTTATAAAACACAAAAATGGAAAATACCACTAAAGAATCAGAAAATTTAGACATTTGCTAACTTTAATAGCCATAAAAGAAATTCTTTCAGAATTTCGGAATTGAAAGCTCAGCAAATGTTTAAAGTATTTTACATATTTTTCAAATGAAATAAAAGATGTAAAGTGAAAATGTGGTGATTAAATTGAATTGAAATTTCAACTGAATAAACTTTAACTGTCACACATGTCATATCGCAAAAAAAAGTAAAACAGCTAATTTGTTAATTCCGGGTTCGAACACTGTGGTTTTGCGATCCTCACGCTCTGGCACGTTTATACACTATTTTGACAAGTGTGAGACAGTAACTTATTTTTACTCCCTAATTACCGAAACAGCCCGGAAAACATGTGGAACAAAGCTAATATTGCGATTTTCTTCTGGAGATAATAATATATGGACTTTTTGTACCTAATTTTGACAAAAACAAATTTTTTGTTGGTTTTTCATCATTTCCAATCCTCCCCTCATATTTAAGATAAAAGGCATATGCCTAGTGTTGACAGAACTTCATACGTAAGAGATTACTTAAAGTGTATAAAAATTAAATCGTATTCGTGCCAGCAACCGGCTCATTTTATTAGGCAGAGTAAACACGAAATTTCATTCGCTCTTGTTCTCAAGAATCACTGTTTCGACTATGTGGAGGCAGGTGGACAAAAGTCAGTGGTGACAGTTGATAAAAAAAAAACCGGTTGGGCAAACCGGGAGAGAAAACTAAAATGCATAATACAAAATGTCATATCATTTGTTTACACCCCCTTTCTAAGAACGTTATATTTCCAAAAAAATACATACTAATCAGTTTACTTGCCTTTAGGGCTTTTTAGAAATTTTTCGGTTTAAGAAGGTATCTATTCTGTAGTTTTCTGGTATCCTCAGAAAGTCTCTTTAAAATGTTTTCTGTAAGCTCATCTTCCATTTGCTCAACCAGTTGGTGATGAACGCTGATCGTAGCCAAGTTTTGATACGCCGAAGTATGCTGAACGACCTCTCAATGGACGCAACTGAGTATGGCAAAGCGAAAATAAAACATAACCGACTCCTCGTACAAGTCTGTCAATTTTACATCAATATTCTATTGATAGACTGACCGAACACAACAAGGGGCCAATCAAAAGGCGACCTTTTTTGGTAGAAACGAAATCACCATTAATTGCATCCTGGTGGGTGTTGTCCAACCGGGTACCTGGGAACCTTAGTATAATACTGTGTATTAAATGTATATTGATTTATTTATTTTTAACGAAGATCTTTTAGTACCAATTCAACGTTAGAAATATATAAAAGGACATTTCCAATACAAATTTCGGTTTAATCTGTAATCAGCTAGAGCGTAAACTTGTGAATTTTGAAAAGATGTAGTACATTAAAGTGAAAAGGGAAGAAAAGGGAGGTTCTCTATGTTCTTTTATATCCGAGGAATATACTAGAACGCCTTTGAAACAAATATGCATTACGTTCAGATACCAGTTTACTTTAGTATCGATCGTTTACTTGGAGCAGCCGGTCGTATTTCGAATACATTGTACATATTTCCTTTTAACTTGGTGTGCCGTTTTATTGGATAGATAAAATAACTTCACGAATAAAAATAACAGAGTAAATTTTTATACGCACGTTTGCAAATGTACAATTTTTCATAATTCATAATTTTTTATTGCCTGAAAGGAGAAAGAAATATATAATTGTTATTTTAGTAAACCAAATATTATTTTTTTATAATTTACATAAGGTCAATTTTAATAAATGAAAATTTAAAAAACAGTATTATACCTTATTTATTTATACATCTTTCCACCTATTTCGTATGGCTGGAATATTCGTGTACGTTTCTTCAAATTCAAACCTTTCTGGGCTGAAAAGAAATTTAAAATATTTTAAATGCATTTCTCCATGTAAAATTAATCAAATCATGGGGATCCGGGAGGATTTTGAAAACTTGTTCCGAGAAAAAAAGATATTTGATACAATATGTGTCGGCGGGGTTAAGGTAAAATTTTTGATGACTCAAAAGTTATAATTTTTATGATTTCTCAAGTTTTATGAAAAAGTAGTTGATCCGATTCAGCAGTACGTTAGAAAAAAATTAGCTCAGTTATGGTAAATAATTTTAAATTTTGCATAATTTGGTAATAAAATACTTTGTTGTAAAGTAATACCTGAAAAATCAAATGCAAATCGATTGTGCGTTGTATGCCTACCAATGTAGCTAAAAATATCTACGTCAAATATAAAGGAAACACATCGATGTATTTTTGCCACTGACACCCTAACCATAAAGTATATTTTCGACAGTTTTCTTTATAATTGATTATTATTAAAAAAAAAAAAAAACAAAGATTAAAAGGAAGCTTCGCGGATCGAATTTTAGTACAGTTGTTACATTTAAAATTACAGGGTGAACTTTGTGAGTAATATGTAGCTTGCGCCGTTCAAATTCAATTAAACGACATAGTACGTAGTACCTATTCGTATTTTTGTTAATCAATTCCAACCAATGCCTCTTTCGCTTCTTCATCCATTTGGGATTATCTAGTTGTTTACGATAAGCCACGGAATTGAGTTTTTTAATTATTTAGTCACTGTAAATACCGATTTTTTTCGATCTATCCTCTGAAACTTGCCTTTGCGAGTAGTGCGTCGTATGCTTTTCTTTTACTTTAATTCCTATTTCGTAGTTATTTCTTCTTTTAAATTAAAGCCATTTTCGCTAACAATTCCACGAAGCTTTATTTACCGCCTTTCAGCTGGTAGCATTGAAATAAATTTCCACGTGCTCTGGCGAATAACAGCGTAACGGTGTCTCTATCAGCATTACATTGTGCTGCTATTGGCATTCGCTCACATCCCAAAAGCCCAAATCGCAAAACTTCGCTGCCAAAAACAAAAAAAAAAACAAAAGGATAAAGTTTTTTCGTGTTCTCCACTTCATTTTTCTTTCAACACTTTCATGTATTTTCGGTACTTTTTTTCATTTTGTTATGTTATTGTTGCATTTTGTCAAACTTGTTGTTTATGCTACTTGCCATAGCGCTCAGTAGTTGCTTTACTTTTTTGATAGTTTTCTTTGTGCTGTAGCTTTTTTTTTTATTGTTACACTTTGCTGCAACAATTTTCATTCTGTATTTCGTTTGCCACTTTCCCCTTTTCGTATTTGGTTTTTTCCTCAGCCATTCTGAGCTTCATTGATGCCCTGAGTTGACATTGTCGAAAAGTCAATTTAAGTTTTGTGCCATTAAGTCGTCGCTGAAGGCAGTCGTAGTGACGCAGGCAGCACTACCAGCTTGTGGCAAGTGGCTGAGAATGTGAACTGAATGTTGGTAGCCAATTGAAGCACCCTATGGTAAAATGCAGCCAACAACAATGGGCAAGGCAAGGAATTTGTTGAGTTTGGCAGCAACGCCAACAGCCACAACGAAAAAGATTCAGCAACAGCCAACGCGACAGGAACGACGTTGATTGCTACCGAGTATCTGCATACGTCCAATGCACTGTGTAGCCACCACCTCAGCTTAGCTAACGGATTAGTTCACCACTTGGCAGTAGTGTCGTCCTTTCGTCATTTGAGTATCTATCCTTTCAAATAGCCATGGCTTGCAGAATTTGTTTTCTTTGCTACTTTTAAATAATTTGCAAAGGCGAAAAGCGAATAGTTGAAATTATTTTCTTTGCGAATTGCTGCGGGCTTCGATTGCTCAGCGTGTGCTTTATCGTTCGCTTTATCGTCAGCAGATTATCAAAAGCAGATTTATTTATGTATCTTTCCAGCGCTCAGCCGGTTCACTTGTTTATTCTCCAATCATTCAATGGCCAGCATAGCGGCGTTTACACTGCGCCGCATTCGTTATATGCTAACTTTTTATGCACACACATACATACCCGTATATTTACTTTGTATAAATCTTTAACTTTGATCGACTTTGACTCTGCCAAGTAGTGCAGAAATGCAATTAAAATATGCTTAGGTTGGTCGGATTTTCTTCGTTTGCCTTTCATCTCTCATCTAAATAGTTATGTACTAACTAGTTTTGTGTTACTTTTCTTGTTATTAAAAGCAATCATTTACTGAGCTTTTTTGTTTGCTTTTTGTCTCTTTGCAGGAAGCGGAAAATGCCATTACAGCCATGAATGGCCAGTGGTTGGGCTCGCGTTCGATACGCACGAATTGGGCAACAAGAAAGCCGCCGGCGACAAAATTGGATGGTAAGCTAAGACTCAAGTCTTGTTTGCAAAAAATCAAATCCATTATCGAACTACAAATAATAATTTACTCCTTTTATTTTACAACAAAAACTTAAACACCAACACAATTCTTCCCACACTTTTTCATCACACACTTTTGTGTTTGCCACTTCCTCTTTTTGTTTTGGTTTTCGTTTCGTTTCGTTTTTCTCTTTTCTTCCGTTTAGTTAATGCCAAACCTTTAACCTTCGATGAAGTGTACAACCAAAGCAGCCCCACTAATTGCACTGTCTACTGTGGTGGCATCAATGGCGCATTGTCCGGCTTTTTAAACGAGGAGATTTTGCAGAAAACTTTCTCTCCCTACGGCACAATTCAGGAGATAAGGGTATTCAAGGACAAAGGATATGCATTTGTGCGGTGAGTTTTAGCAAAACTAAGAACAAAACAAAAAAAATATCTAATAAAGTAAAAGTTGCGCTGCAAAAAGCGCAAATATACGCCATTTTCGTATGCACGCACGCACGCAAAAACCCTAACACTATATTTATATACTTATATGTACGTACCCTGCAGGAAATGTATCTAGGTATAAGCTAACTTCAAGTTGATTAGGAAGGAGCGAAAATTCACTATTATCTGTATGTTTTCTTTGACGATAGCTAACTATATTTCTATGGCAACGGCCGCGAAATAGTCTGCATTTGATGCAACTAACTATATTTTTTTTAGTTTTTTTTTTTTATTTGCTTTATTTATTTTATTATATTTCATATTTGTTTACATATTCTGTTGTAGGTGGTCCCATATTCGAACTCCCACAGACATAACTTCAAAACAACTCTCTACAAGTGGGTTATTTTTTATCAATTGATAATTTTTTTCTCCAGGGTATGTGAGCACATACACAAAGTTTTGATGCATTAAATACCTGCGTTTATGCAAGAAGCAAAGCAAAAAACTAGTTGTCGCAACTATGCAAACCTTTTTTTTTAAACTTTATTGCTTATTAACTTACCTCAATTTGTACAAATATGTGTGTACTAGATGTATATTTGAATTTGAAAATTGTTGCAAAAACTATGCTACACTTTCCTTTTAGTTTAAGATAAAATTTGCGAAATTTAATTTTTACGATGCTACTCTGCTCCCTCCACACAATGGTTTAAAACTGGAAGCGTAGCGACTGCCCTTTTTAACCGATTTGTTTAATTTTACATTAAAGCTAATAAAATTTAGAAGTTTTTCGTTAAACCCGATTTTTAAATTTTTATTTGTTTATTGCATATACATATGTATGTATGTATGTATGAACATTAGACTGGTCCAAAAAATTATTTTCCGAGATAGGGTTCGGGGCACCTTTCAAAATTTTTCCTTTTGCCGAAAGAGGTGCTGGTATCAAACTTTACGTTTCTAAGTACAAATTCATATGATGCTCAAGACACGCATATTTTACTTTAAAAGTATTTTGTACATACATATATATAATGATTAAAGAATTTTTTAAGCAACCTAAGAACATTTCAAATTTAAATAGTTTAAAAAGTATATCAAAAGTTTCAGTTGGCGTGGCAACAGAAGCTTTTTATATAAATAGCCAATATTTGTGCCAGTTTCACAGCGATCCAGTAGCGCATTTCAGGGTCATTTAGCACCCTGTATTGGTTACAGTAGAAAATTGAGACTTGCCCCTCTATTCTAACAGAGTCTCAAAACTTAGCTCATCACTGTTGTGATTTCTAGTGCGCCGAGAAATGTGTCACAAAAAATTCGATTTTGAGTGCAAGAAAAATACACAAAGATTTAAAAATTTGTATTGTAGCGGCATATTTTTTGCAGTGGCAAGCTTTGAGGCGCAGTAGAAATCATAGCAGTGATGAGCTAAAGTTTGTGACTTTGTTAGAATACGGCTGTTGGTATAGATATTACAAATAGCAAAATAAAAAAACTATGGGGGTTCTCGGTTTTCTATGACGAAAAAATTGGACCACTACACATGTACATATATACAAAATTTTGGTACAAAACGCAGCGAAGTAGTAATTTTGAAGAAAATCGATTCTTATGTTCCGGTATGAGAGGGGAAACCAGCAGCCGGATTTCGGTTGTCGCTATCGCTAAAACTCCATCGCCAAAAAATGTTAAACGAATTTGAGCAATATTTAGCGACTCTGTCTTAAAAAGGCGTCTCTAAGAATCTTCATTTTTTAATCAATTTTTGAGGGATTTTAGCGTTGAACAACATATTTTGACTGCTCATACAGCAAAAACTGCGATTCGCGCGTAAATTATATAGCTAAAAATTTATATTTTTCGGTGAAACATGTTAAAAATTTGAGAAGAGTAAAAAGCTTTGCTAAAAAATATATCAATAAATCGTAGCTAATTTTAGTATTGTTATTTGTTTAAACTACTCAAGTATATAAAATAAAAAAAAAGCTTTGTTACTAATAGGATAAATTGAAAACGGCTACGGAAGAGTGAAAAAGAACAAAAATGTATGCTTGCATAGTATTTTTAGAAGCTTTATTGAAAAAAGAATTTTTTTTTTTACGGTTTCTGGTCTGTCTTCATAAAACACCTCATTTTCGCTTAATATTTCATTAATATCAAATTCTCTTCCGTTGTTATTTATAATAAAAATGCTTGTTCTCGTTTGTGGCTCCTTTACTCAAAAGTCTTGCCCACTGATTGCTGGTAACTTCCTGAAAGAAATACGATTTTTTTTTAGACTTATTTGATACTAAAAACAGTTAAGAGCAGCGCTGTCTTCATACCTTACATGAGCATCTGAAAAATTTACTTTAATAGATTACTACATTTGAAAAAAGTTATATATTTACAAAATACATAGATAGAGTAGATACATATGTGAAAACAATCAGAGGTATGGATGATATACCTTATATAGCACGAATCTAAATGATTTTCACTGCTGTGTGATCGGTATGTAAACCGGTAACACAATTTAATTGGTTTAGACTCCTACATAAAGGAGATATATCGTAATAACTGGTATCTGAATAATCAGAGGTATAAGAGATAAAGCTTACACAGCATAGATTTAGACGATTTTCTCAGTAGACTTTGTGTTATTATTTATAGAATAGCTTACGAAATTAATCTGCTTTAGCAGTCCAAAAAAGCAGTTGTACAATACAACCCCATATCTGAACAATCAGTTGTGTGGCGGATATAAATAGGTTACAGTGACCTGCTCTTTTTTAACTTTCTGTTGATAATGAGTGCAAATATTGCGAAATTTCATGTTCCTAGCTGAATAAATGGATAAGTTATAACGAAAAATCTCATATCTGAAAAATCAGTTGTACGGGAGCTATATGTTATAGTGGTCCGATTCCTCCGGTTCCGACAAATGATTAATACATTGTAAAAATACACACATCTACCAAATTTCATCTGGATATCTCGAAAACTGACAGACTAGATTGCATACAAACAGACGGACAGACAGACAGACAGACGGAGATGGCTAAATCGCCTCAGCTCGACGTTCTGATCATTTAAGTATACATTTTAATGGGTCTATCTCTTCTTATTCTGGTACTTACAAACATCGGACCAAAGATATAATACCATTTCGTGCTCATTCAAGGCATAATAAACGTATACACAAAGCTCTATTCACCTTGAGCAAAAAAAATCCGAAAAAATCTCGAAAATTTTTTTAAGTCGCCGTGCTGTCCTTTAATATTAGTACGAATCTCCTCAAAAGCATTCAGCCTTATAATGAGCATAATTTTTACCCGAAATCTTTCACTTTTAATGATATAAGGATTTAAGGATTTTTATCGCTACATATTAAATAATAATAAAGTGAAAGTGTCAACTGGTTAAGAAATTGCGTTGGTTTTAAATATTAAATATTACATTTTTGCTTATATTAATAGCACACTTTATGTATGCCGAAGGAAATGCCTAGAGAAGTGTAAAAAGGCGACTACAGAAGTAGCATTCTTCTCGTAGAGAGCACAGATATTTGAGGCTACGGAATGGTTTTCTATATGTTTATCTACAATTCATCATTATTCATAGATGCAGTAATTCAAACAACCGTTCAAATAGTGATTTCAAATATTCACAATGTTTTTCTAGCAATTCTTTTTTCTGTTTTTTTTTAACCCTTCGATTTGTGAGAAGGTCCCTAGGGACCTTTTCGTATTTCATGTGCCTATATCTTTTTGTTCAATGCATTTTTGAAAAGAATTTATACATGTATTCCAAGAATAAATGAAGCTGAATCGTTTAAAATAAGTTTCGAAGGGATACGGGATCACGTT